TTCGCCATCTGTTTGCCTCGTCTCCCCCACACAAATCACCCAGGTGGACTCGCCCGCCCGCAGGGGACTGAATCTGTTATTTTGCCACTCTGGCCGTACGAATTATCGTCCTTTAGTGTAACGCAACGTTCCGGGTGAACGACCTGGAGTGTTGACAGCCGATCATGGGAGGTAGATTTTTTTTCTCTTCTCCCTAGCCTAACTTTACCCCGTCCGTTTGCGGTTTCGTCGGATCCGCAGCCGTACTGTATGAGCCCGGGTAGCAGAGGTCGTTTACCTTTATCAAACAGGTTTCCGTTCTCATTGCACGCAACACGTCGTGTGCGCGAGCGTTGGGCGCCGCCGTGGCCACACCACCGCAGGGGTTAGGGTTACGGCCGTAAGGGTTAGTTGTTTATAAATATAATGTGGTAGTGGTTAGGGTTACGGATTAGTTGTTTATAATGTGGTAGTGGGTTAGGGTTACGGGTTAGTTGTTTATAATGTGGTAGTGGGTTAGGGTTACGGGTTAGTTGTTTATACTGTGGTAGTGGTTTAGGGTTACGGGTTAGTTGTTTATAATGTGGTAGTGGGTAAGGGTTACGGTTTAGTTGTTGCTGACCCACACCTTGTTAATAATGTGGTAGTGGGTTCGGGTTATGGTTAGCTGTTGTTTTATTGGCAACTTGTTAAGGTTGCGGTAAGCTGCTGTAGTGCTATCAGACGTTAAGATTATTGAGACTAGTGCGCTTAAGGTTAGGGTTGATTGTTGCCTTTGTACCGTCCGTCATGTTTAAAATGTGGTAACGGGTTAGAGTTTAATGTTGCAGCGATATCCGTTAAGATTAACCCTAGGTTATCACGTATGGGGTTGTATTTAGTGCTTGTAGTTAAGTGTTGTGAAGTCGTGATTTAGACCCAAGTCCCAGTTTCTATAACGGTATACTGTAGCCAATCAATCCGTTTTAAAACTGAAGTTTCTGCTTTTAAATCTATCTCATTGATAACAAGTTGACTCCAATGCGTATAAAACCGCAATCTAAGTAGATTATGTTAATTAAATAACGCGTTCATTGTTAATATGGAAGCGACCTAAACACAACAGTCAGCTGAAGCACTGGAGTGCTTTAAGTGCACTCTCAACCACCTCCCGCCCGCCCGCCCACATACACACTCTCGCACTTTAAAAATAGACCTGCCCAACTCTCGTCTATACGCTATACTTATTTTTGTATGGTTTGTGGATATGATTTGATACTTTCCTTCTGTTTATACTCTTGATTTGCCTAATGGTTAAGGTATGTGCTATTTAAGTGGGTAATAAAATTACTTAGATAGTTTGAAGATGGGTATCGACTGTAACGATACAAATTCTTCAATTAGCCTTAGAAAAATTCCGTCGTCCGTCCGTGTCCCCCCCCCCCCCCCCCCAGAAACTGACAAACGTACTCACATTTAAATAATTCATTGATATTTTATTTACTTTATAGTTTAAAAAATAAAATAAAGCCACATTAAAAGCTTTATCTACCAAGATACAACAGTTCTGTATAGTATAACTCAAGTAAACCAGAACAGTAAGTTATGCCTGTACCTGATTCCCCACCTCCCAGCAGTTTTTTGGACCAGTTCCAACATACCTCAGGTCCCAGGCTACACAATAGGCTCAGGATTCCCGTACCATTGTTGCCTGATGTCTGTTTGTCTATAGGGGGGGGGGGGGTAAGTCCGGGGGGTCTGTAGGGACAAGCACGGGTCATAGGTTCTACCGGGACAAGTATGGGTCATAGGTTCTACCGGGACAAGTATGGGTCATAGGTTCTACCGGGACAAGTATGGGTCATAGGTTCTACCGGGACAAGTATGGGTCATAGGTTCTACTGGGACAAGTATGGGTCATAGGTTCTACCGGGACAAGTATGGGTCATAGGTTCTACCGGGACACGTATGGGTCATAGGTTTTACCGGGACAAGCACGGGTCATAGGTTTTACCGGGACAAGTACGGGTCATAGGTTCTACCGGGACAAGTACGGGTCATAGGTTCTACCGGGACAAGTATGGGTCATAGGTTCTACTGGGACAAGTATGGGTCATAGGTTCTACCGGGACAAGTATGGGTCATAGGTTCTACCGGGACACGTATGGGTCATAGGTTTTACCGGGACAAGCACGGGTCATAGGTTTTACGGGGACAAGCACGGGTCATAGGTTGTACCGGGACAAGTATGGGTCATAGGTTTTACAGAGACAAGTATGGGTCATAGGTTGTACCGGGACAAGCACGGGTCATAGGTTGTACCGGGACAAGTATGGGTCATAGGTTTTACAGAGACAAGTATGGGTCATAGGTTGTACCGGGACAAGTATGGGTCATAGGTTGTACCGGGACAAGTATGGGTCATAGGTTGTACCGGGACAAGTATGGGTCATAGGTTCTACCGGGACAAGTATGGGTCATAGGTTCTACCGGGACAAGTATGGGTCATAGGTTCTACCGGGACAAGTATGGGTCATAGGTTCTACCGGGACAAGTATGGGTCATAGGTTCTACCGGGGCAAGTATGGGTCATAGGTTGTACCGGGACAAGTATGGGTCATAGGTTCTACCGGGACAGACATGGGTCATAGGTTCTACCGGGACATGTATGGGTCATAGGTTGTACGTGGACAAGTATGGGTCATAGGTTCTACCGGGACAAGTATGGGTCACAGGTTGTACTGGGACAGGCACGGGGCATATTTTTACAAGGACAAGAACGGGTTACGGGTTATTGGATTATGAGCATGGATCATAGAGATCTATTGGGAGTCCAAGGACAGACATGGGTCATATCATCTACCGGGACAAGTATGGGTCATATGATTTATCTGGATATGTATGAGTCATAAAGTCTTTTGGGACGACAGTGAGTTTTAGGGTCGGTCTCTCGGGGACAAGTCCGTGTTTTACTTTTACGCTGTGCAGATGTAATTTTTACTCTTCCGTGGTTGACGCCGTATGTGTCTAGTACGGCAAACACTTGTCTCCACGCTAAAATACACACGGCTCCCTCTACAGCTTACAAGGAATAAATCTCCCCAATTTTATAACCACTCGTATAAATTACAAGGGGGAGGGGGTGGAAGAAGAGAGACTCGCTGTTTTTTTTTTCGTTCTTAAAATAATTTTTTTTAGCATACCTTGGCTGAAATCTTCTTTTATTATTCCGCTTCGAGGTTAGCTGATACGTTGAAATTATTTTAAGTCATACGTTTATGGTTAAAAACACACGGCCGTCAACTAAACGCGTACTTAGATTTTTTGTCCTCATTTCTTGTTATTGTTGTTCAAGTGAAATTTTCTTAATCACTGCCTTCATAGATCTGTGCAACAGTCGTTATTCTGTTTGTTAAAGAAGTGGTTATTTAACTAGGTAGTTTAAATATAAACTCCACGGAGACATTTTGAGAGGCACAAAACATAATGTTTCGACCTTGTGCCCTCATCAGATTAGGTAATTAGTATAACAAATACAAATTGAATCTTCTAAAGGCGTTTTTGTTTGCTTGTATTTTGTATTCGAAGTGGCCTTTAAGTAATTAAGTTATTGTTTAACTTTCCATAACTTTAAAACCCGAGTTTTAGAATGAAAACAAATTGAGTTGACGTAGGCGATCAATTGCTTGCGACTCGCTATGACGCGAGAGGGGGGGGGGGGGGGCATGTTGTATATCGCTTGAGATTTGATCGAGTGCTGGAAGTTGTACAGTGTCACATCCATTAACCCATTTCATACTTTAGCGGCTTCTCCGAGTTTGCCGGCCAGGTTTCGACTCTTACACAACCACAGCTTGTTATTCGGCTCTGGCCTCCCTCCCTCCCCATCCCTTATTATTACACCAGGCAGGGTTTCTCTTCTTGTGATCGGCTTCTTGTGGCTATATTTGATTCATAAATATACGTTTTAAGTAAAAAACATTGTCAAGGTTCCGTTTAGATTTGCTCGGTATTTCAAGTGAAAGTTGAGAGGAAAAGCAAACTTAGACTTGTTGTTTTGTATCATAGGTTGGTTGATGTAGGTTTAAGGTTGTTTTGGTCTTCTTGATATTTAATTCATTAAAATATGTTGTAAAGTAAAAAAAAAAATATAATTGCCAAAAACATCGCTTTGATACATTGTTATTGTAGAAAAAAATATAGCCGTATTAAAGTGTTCATCAACATACGTTAAGTAATTAGACTGTCTGGTATTCAGGTTTTAGTGATGGAATGTTTTGTAGTTCATTAACTACTGTTAATATTTAATATGAAGTTTCATTGCTGTTTTTGTGTTTAGCCGCTATTCACTTGGATACTGCTGTTTTATTTCTGAATTAAAATAAGAACACTTCGGTTGATTTCCTGTGTTGTGGTTATTTGATACTCATTGACCCCCTGTATTGGTGGTAGTTTGTTTATTTGTGCTGAAGTATATCCACGTAGTTTTATCCTTCTCCTTGCTTCATCTCTAAAACAGTTTACATATAGGTGCTGAGTTTTTAATTGTCCCTAATTAAAAGACAAGTGCTGTTGAGCATCCGGTTGGTGCCAGTGTGTGTGTTTGTTTTAATGCTCTTCTGTGCAACCAAGGCAGAGCGTTTAGGCTTAGTAGACTGGGATTTCTCCTGCGGCGTTCGTTTCGCTATGTACGTTTGGATGGTGACACTATGACGGACTTGTACTGGCTACCATTCCGTCCTCCACTGAAGGACAGTGGTCACCTCCATCAATGTGGGGCAGCATGATGGCAGTAGGCGAGATGCACCAGTCCGGCCCCTGCTACAACGGCAACATCGGCAGCGGGAGTTACGCCCCTTTCGGCTCCAACGGCCCCACCAACAACAACATCATCAACAGCCTGCATCACAACGGTGGCGGCAACAGCATCATAGGTCAGCATATTAACAACAGCAGCACGAACAATGGGGGCGGCGTGAGCGGGCACCACCCGTTTCACCATCCCCACCACCACCCCCTCCCGCCACATCACGGCGGAGGGGGGATGGGGGGCTCCACGGGGAATTTCTCGGATGTGTACCACAGCTGGATAGATGACTTGTGTAAGTTGACATTAAATTTACCTGTAGGGTAAGGGTAGGTTTACCTCTAGGGTCAGATTTACCTGTAGGGTAAGGGTAAATTTACCCCTAGGGTCAGATTTACATGTAAGGTTAAGGTATTTTTAACCCATAGGTTTGGCTAAATTTACCTTTAAAGTTAAAATAGGTTAACATCTTGGCTCAGATTTACCTATTCAGGTATGTTAAATTTACCTGGAATAATCAATAGTGCAATATTAGGTATAGGTTTGATGTATTGGTAAATGTATCTGTTAGTGTTGTGTACAGTTTTTTATGCCTTCAATTTGTGTTTATATGTATACAATGCAAGTTATTTAAAGTGTATACTTATTCGAGTATTTGATTTCTTATTCATAATATAGATTGAAAAGTCAACCTATACTAGTTATGTACATATTTTCGTTGATACAATATTAGTTGGAAGTTTCTAAAAAATAACTTAATAATGTACCTACATTGAGTTAAAAAACAACTATTCAGCCATATGAAAGCCTTCAGCATTGAGCGACAATGGCCATGCTCAGTTTTGATCTAGTAGCGGGCTTCCCTTTTTAGTCTCATAAAACATACTGCTCTCTCTTGTACACTCTGCATCTATTTTTATAATACGCATATAAGTTTAAAATAATAATATTCGGAAACATAAATCGGGATAAACTTTGGGAACAAAACAATAGTAAACTCTGACTACCAACACTTATTTAGCAGTGTTTCTTTCAGGCTTATCTGGGGGTGGGGCGCCCTCTGGACGAAATAAGAAAGATACTAAATTTAACCACACTAATAACTGCACCTATAAAGTTTTAAATGCTCCCCCCCCCCCCGAGCAAAATGTCTGAAAGAAGCCCTCCTATCGCAGCACTCCATACCTCGTTTGTCTACATTTGCTACTACTACATACCATCTATCCAACAAGTGCCTTTTATGCCCTTAACATTGCTAATACTTTCCTGGTCAACATCCCTCTGTACCAGTAGAATGCTACTATCTGTGTACACTTTATTAATAGCCCGTCTTCATTTTAGCCGGACTTGTCTCGTTTTGCTGACTGCAGTCATTTTTTCCCCCTGATTTAAAATGCGTCACAACACCGGTTTAAGTTTGTAAACAGAGCTGAACGGATTAAAACAAAAAAAAAACCTAATCCATGAAATCAATTCCAATGTCCCATTATTTTTTTTTTATGCTATTGTCCTGGCTGTCAAAACATCATTGATCGATGTTGAACAATGTAAAAAGCCGCAATAAGATAATTCAGACGAGCCGTGTCGTTAGCTGTAGGAAATACTCGAGTGTCGTGTTTACACTGCTGATGTTCGAGACCTCACGTGAACCTCACATCTTCAAACCTTGACCTGAATAGCGCGTGGTTATATCCCCCCTCCCCCCCACACGTCCTCTTTATCAAACGCCCCCACCCTCATTTTTTTCTCTTCTGGAGTAACGTGAATTGGGTCACGTGTACTGAGGGGATGAAATGGAGGCGCCACTGTGTGGTGATGTTCTGATCTATATTTAGTTGTGGGTTTTAAATACTGGAAGGGGGGGGGGGGTAAATGGTAATAGGCTTACACTGTTGTAAGGATGCTTAATTTTCTTGTAGAGGTGGGGGGGGGGGGTCATACTGTAACATTACTCTTCGCATTTTTATGTTAGATATAACAAATTGAAAACGTGATAAGTTAGGTACGTGTATAAACTTGCGTGTAATTCTCATAATTATAACCTTCAGACATTTTTTTCAAAATAGTAATATAAAATCAGCTGCCCATTATTCAATTTATACCAAGTTTTAATAAAAATGTTGATTATAGGGGTATGGCTTTTGGGATCGATATACAGTATTAGTGTTAAGTTTTTCGATTTTCGTTCATCAATAGCGGCATCAGAGGCGATAATTCCACACTTATTGTTTTTATATCGTGAACACCTTTGTACCGACATAAAAGGAATCTGTACCGACGTAAGACAGGTTAAAGGTTATTTCCAGACATGGGAAGTGCAGATCCATACGACTTTCTGCTGCTCTGTGTATATCCATGTAAACGACAGACTTCCTGACATGGAGTCTACGTGAAAGTCTTACTTCCAGACTTTAGGAATGCTTGTCCATTTATGACATTCACATATTCATGCAATTTTTTTTTATCTGCTTGACGCATTTAAAGGGTTTATGTAAACGACTTAATTTCCGACATTTGGAGTCCATGTAATTTGCTGACATTTGGAGTTGATTTCCATGTAAAAGACTTTCTGACATCTGGAGTTTATGTCTATGTAAAATACTTTCTGACATTTGGAGTTTATGTCCATGTAAAAACTTGTTGACATTTGGAGTTTATGTCCATGTAAAGGAATTTCTGACATTTGGAGTTTATGTCCATGTAAAAGACTTTCTGACATTTGGAGTGCCCTGGGTGCAGTCGCCATTTTACCATGTCAACAATAGTTGCTCTCGGGACGACGTAAATAGAGAACTAACGAGTTCCCTCCCCATGCCTAGAACTACAACGCTGTAGATAACCTTTCTTCATCCTGACGCGAATAACCGCAGGCCAACTTTATGAGAGGAGTAGCCTTCTCTTCGTTAACGGTTTCATGCCGAAATTACATGACTACAAAGTTTAAACATTCGTGTTTTTTTTAATGCAATAAGCTGTTATTTCCTCGCTGATGCTTTGAACTCGTGTGGGCAAGAATTCGCAGTTGCTAACCTGAATGTTAGTTTTAGTTCGTTGGGAGTCAGCTCTAATGGGTACCTGGATTTTGTTGGGTGGTAAAATATATGTTTGGACATTGTGCTGCCTACACTCTGCCTTCAAGTACCGAGTTCACAGAATTTTAATAGTTCGTTGGGAGTCAGCTCTAATGGGTACCTGGATTTTGTTGGGTGGTAAAATATATGTTTGGACATTGTGCTGCCTACACTCTGCCTTCAAGTACCGAGTTCACAGAATTTTAATAGTTCGTTGGGAGTCAGCTCTAATGGGTACCTGGATTTTGTTGGGTGGTGAAATATATGTTTGGACATTGTGCTGCCTACACTCTGCCTTCAGGTACCGAGTTCACAGAGTTTCAATAAAGGACTCTACTACATCTGCCGTCATTCCTGTCAAAGCTTTACAGGCATACTACTTGTACCTTTAAACAACTAGTAGTTAGGTTTTCATTGTGCTAAAAGTCTTTCAGCGTTGTTGCTATTATGGCTTTTCCTCTGTATATACTAGGTAACACATGTAGAAAAACATTATATGTAACGTTGCAGTAAGTTTTCTATTGAAAGAAAAAATAATCATTTAAGCATTACAAGAAAATCTATATAAGTAATACCGAATTCACAGAATTTTAATTAAGAACTCTACTACATCTGCCGTCATTCTTGTCAAAGCTTTACAGGCATACTGCTTGTACCTTTAAGCAACTAGTAGTTAGGTTTTCATTGTGCTAAAAGTCTTTCAGCGTTGTTGCTATTATGGCTTTTCCCCTGTATATACTACGTAACACATGTAGAAAAACATTATATGTAACGTTGCAGTAAGTTTTCTATTGAAAGAAAAAAATCATTTAAGCATTACAAGAAAATCTATATAAGTAAAGAAAAAAAATTGAAAACTGAATCTGTATCAACTAGTAGTTAGGTTTTCATTGTGCTAAAAGTCTTTCCGCGTTGTTGCTGTTATGGCTTTTCCCCTGAGTATACTATGTAACACATGTAAAAAAAAATATGTAACGTTGCAGTAAGTTTTCTTTTGAAGGAAAAAAAATCAGTTCAACATTACAAGAAAATGTATATAAGTAAAGTAAAAAAAAAATGAAAACTAAATCTGTATCAACAAGTATCAAGTCCACTATCTGGTGTGTTTGGACAGTGTGTGTAAGACTTCACCCACGCACTGTCCACATTAAGATAAGCCTATCACAGTTTGCCCTACATGGCACTTAAGATCGGATGTCGACTCTCTACACAAGCTGCTGGGGCCACATTCATTCAAGTTTCTCTCCTGGTTGTCAATGGGAGAGCTCATCGCAGTATAGGGGGTCTGCATGATAAGTCTGTTAAGTTCATCACAATATGGGGGTCCACATCCAAGTATGAGGTTCTACATCCAAGTATGGGGGTCCACATGATTTTTTAATCGCTGTATAGGGGTCTGCATGATAAGTCTGTAGGTTCATCACAATATAGGGGTCTGCATGATAAGTCTGTAGGTTCATCACAATATAGGGGTCTGCATGATAAGTCTGTTAGGTTCATCACAATATGGGGGTCCACATCCAAGTATGGGGGTCCACATGATTTTTTAATCGTTGTATAGGGGGTCTGCATGATAAGTCTGTAGGTTCATCACAATATGGGGGTCCACATCCAAGTATGAGGTTCTACATCCAAGTATGGGGGGTCCACATGATTTTTTAATCGTTGCATAGGGGTCTACATGATAAGTCTGTTAAGTTCATCACAATATGGGGGTCCACATCCAAGTATGAGGTTCTACATCCAAGTATGGGGGTCCACATAATTTTTAATCGTTGTATAGGGGTCTACATGATAAATCTGTTAAGTTCATCACAATATGGGGGTCTGCATGATAAGTCTGTGTTCATCCGAGCATGGGGGTCCACATCCAAGTATGGGGGTCTAAATCCTATTATGGGGATCAACATGATTTGTTAGGGGATCTACATGATAAGTCTGTAAGTTCTTCCAAATATGGGGATCCACATCGCTGTATAGAGTCTTTATAACATCATTGATGTATGGGGTCTTTATGACAACACCCTTATTTCATCGATCACTTAGTTCATTAATATATGGGTATCTAAATAACTAATCAACGATGTATCATGAGGGTCTATATCACGGGTTCCCAACCTGGGGGTCGCGACCCCCCTGGGGGTCGCGAAGGTCTTTCTGGGGGGTCGCCAACTGGTATACTAAACCTTAGTAATTTGAAACACAACATAAATATTTAGAAGAA